ATATAGAATATGCATTCCATTAGTTTATCAAATTGGTATGTTACGCCGGGCCGCAAAGAAACATAGAGCTGAGTATCATCAGCATAACAGTGAAAGCTAACACCGTGTTTCCTGATGATATCTCCCAAGGGTAACATGTAAAGTGTGAAAAGTAACGGCCCTGGTACTGAGCCTTGAGGTACTCCATACTGCACTTGTGATCGATGTGATACCTCTTCATTCACTGCTACGAATTGATGGCGGTCAGATAAGTACGATTTGAATCATGCTAATGCACTTCCATTAATGCCAACAAAATGTTCTAGTCTATTCAAAAGAATGTTGTGGTCAATAGTGTCGAACGCAGCACTAAGATCCAATAGCACTAACAGAGAGATACAACCACGGTCAGATGATAAGCGCAGGTCATTTGGAACTCTAATGAGAGCAGTCTCAGTACTATGATACAGTCTAAATCCTGACTTGAAATCCTCACAGATACAATTTCTCTCTAAGAAGGAATATAATTGTGAGGATACTACCTTTTCTAGTATCTTGGACAGAAAAGGGTGATTTGAGATCGGTCTGTAATTAACTAGTTATTTGGGGTCAAGTTGTGGTTTTTTGATGAGAGGCTTAATAACAGCCAGTTTGAAGGTTTTGGGGACATATCCTAATGACAATGACAAATTAATAATAGAAAATTAATCAAATGAATCAGATTAGTTTGATAGATATTATCAGAAATATGGTGGGAATTAAGTTATATTTTATCACTTTAAACAACAGAGAGTGATAGTAAGAGATAGTAAAAGCAAAGCTACATGGATCTACAATCACAAACCACTCAGCAGCACGGTATACAGGAAATGGAAACCAAATCCAGGCTGTGGAGCTGGGCGTAGGCAGGCCGCCCCACCAGTCCAGGCCCCCGTCAAACCTGGCGGTGAGTGAAAGAGCAAGAGGCCCCGGGACGGGTGACCCAGAGAGGGAGGAAGCTGCTCTTTGGGGGATGCTGAAGGCACCTCTCCCTCCCCCGAAGGAGGGCCGGGTGGAGAATCTGGAAAATCTCGACGAGAGAGTGGTTTTCTCTGTCCCTGGGTCCCAGTAGGGCACGGAGAGTCGTGGACTGACCAGCACCGGACCACACTCATCCTCCTCCATCACCACCAGGCAGTAGCGGGCGGTTCGAGAGCGTCAACAAAGGCCCTACTCACTCACCCTTTGCCAAGCGTTGCACCGCACACTCAGACCCCTCTTTGGTCCGCTCACAAGCCGCCCGAGTCCACCTCGCTGCCCCACTGCGGGTACGGCGGTGGTTCCACTGGTCCAGCTTGCATGGTATCTGGGTGCCTGGCTAACGCTACCCAACCAGTCTCGTTGGCTTCTGCGGACCATCAGCTTCGGCTATGCGATTCAGTTTGCCTGGCGTCCCCCCAAGTTCAGTGGCATCCACTTCACGACAGTGAAGGCGGCCGATGCTCCTGTCTTGCATGCGGAGATCGCAGTCCTACTGGCGAAGTATGCGATAGAGCCGGTCCCTCCAGCCGATATGAATACAGAGTTTTATAGCCCTTACTTCATTGTACCCAAGGAAGGCGGTGGGTTACGACCAATCTTGGATCTGCGTGTCTTGAACCAGGCCCTTCGCTGATTATCGTTCAAGATGTTGATGCAGAAACGCATCTTTGGGTGCATCCATCCCCGAGATTGGTTTGCGACCTGAAGGATGCGTACTTTCATGCGTCGATCCTTCCGCACCACAGACCATTTCTGCGGTTCGCGTTCGAAGGACGAGCATATCAATATGAGGTCCTGCCCTCCGGGCTGTCCCTGTTGCCCTGTGTCTTCACGTAAGTTGTGGATGCAGCCTTTGTTCCACATACAACGGGCATGCAGTGTCTGGGGTGTGGACGGGCCCCAAACTGCACTGGCATATCAATTGCCTGGAGTGGTTAGAGGTGCGCCTTGCCTTGAACCGTCTCAAAGGGTGATTACGAGGCAAGCACGTGCTGGTCCGAACGACAACACGGCGACCATTGCATACGTCAACTGACAAGGTGGTCTGCGCTCCCGTCGCATGTCGCAACTCGCCCTCCACCTCCTCCTTTGGAGACGGAAGGGTCTGAGTTCACTTTGTGCCTTTTATATTCCGGGTCTGCTCAACTGTATGGCCGACGAGCTGTCACAAGCTACGCTCCCGGGAGAATGGAGACGGTCCAGCTGTTTTGGAGATGTTTCGGAGCCGCTCAGGTAGACCTGCCTGCCTCTCCAGAAACCTCTCACTGCCAGTTGGTCTACTCCCTGACTGAGGGAACACTCTGCATGGACGCACTGGTAATCATGATTTCCATGATAAGTTCTGTAAATTTAAATGTAAATGTACATTTTTGTATATCTACTGACATTCAGAGTATGTTGAATGGCCCACTCAGACCTGATTCCCCGAACTAATGCTCCTCGTGACAGCCCCTCCCTGGCAGATTCCTCTGAGGAAGGATCTACTGACTCAGAGACGGGGCACCCTGTGGCACTCGCGTCCAGAGCTCTGGAAACTTCATGTCTGGTCCCTGGGTGGGACGCGGAGGTTCTAGGTGACCTACCCCAAGAGGTAGTTGACACCATCACTTCAGCAAGAGCACCGTCTACGAGACACGCTTACGCCTTGAAGTGGAACCTGTTCGTCGAGTGGTATTCTTCTCGTCGAGAAGACCCCCAGAGATGCCCGATCAGGGTTGCGCTTTACTTTTTGTAGCAGGGGTTGGAGCGAAGGCTGTTTCCCTCCACCCTTAAAGTCTATGTCGCTGCGATTGCTGCTAACCATGACCCTGTGGAAGGGAAGTCAGTAGGGAAGCATGACCTGGTCATCAGGTTCCTTAGTGGGGCGAGAAGGTTAAATCCTCCCCGGCCCCCCTCTATACCCTCTTGGGACCTGTCGCTGGTGCTTAAAGCACTACAGCAGGGCATATTTGAGCCTTTGCAGTCAATTGAGCTAAAGTTTCTTTCAATGAAAACTCTGCTCCTGCTTGCACTGGCCTCTATAGAGAGGGTAGGGGACCTGCACACATTCTCGGTCGACAATTCGTGCCTAGAGTTTGGGCCGGCTGACTCCCAGGTAATCCTGAGGACCCAGCCCGGCTATGTGCCCAAGGTTCCTACTACCCCCTTCAGGGATCAGGTAGTGAACCTGCAAGCACTGCCCCCGGAGGAGGCAGACCCAGCCCTAGCTTTGCTTTGTCCCGTCCGAGAATTGAGATGCTACGTAGACCAGACACAAAGCTTTAGGACCTCTTTGTCTGTCACGGAGGCCGGCAGAAGGGGAATGCCGACTCTAAGCAGAGGATGGCCCACTGGATAGTGGATGCCATCACCCTGGCTTATCAGGCACAGGGTGTGCCTTGCCCGCTCAGGTTGCGAGCTCACTCTACTAGAAGTGTTGCATCCTCCTGGGCACCAGGTCATGGCACCTCGTTGACAGATATTTGTAGAGCTGCGGACTGGGCGACCCCCCAACACGTTCGCTAGATTCTATAGCCTTTGTGTGGAGCCGGTATCCTCCTGTGTTCTCACCTCAAACGAGTAGTGGCACTGAGAGGCCCCGGTTTAGTGTCGGCTTGCTAAAACTGCTCCAGAGTGTCCGTACTGTAGGCCCTGTTGAGCTCCTCCGTCCCCTCGGCAGCCAGATGTGGCAGAACGTCCGGCGCCAGGCCCTCACTCGCTGAATCTGTGAGAACTGGTAGAGGGCTGGGTTCCATATGTAGAGACCTAAGCGGATCCCATATGTGTAAAGTCCACGGTATAGCCTCAGAGCCTGTGTTTCCCCGGCAAACTTCTGCCATTTCCATGAGGGTTACAGTCACCTCTAACCTTCCATATGCACCTAAACGGATGTTCATATGGTTAAGTCACCGACGTGACGTCTCCGTTCCCATCTTCAGGGAACGAGGGTTACATACGTAACCGAGACGTTTTTATATGTTTTTATTTTAGTTTTATTCTTTTTTTAGTTATTTTAGCATATCAAGTTAAACTACAAACCCAATTCCAAAAAAGTTGGGACACTGTACAAATTGTGAGTAAAAAAGGAATGGAATAATTTACAAATCTCATAAACTTATATTATATTCACAGTAGAATATAGATAACATATCAAATGTTGAAAGTGAGACATTTTGAAATGTTATGCCAAATATTGGCTCATTTTGGATTTCATGAGAGCTACACATTCCAAAAAAGTTGGGACAGGTAGCAATAAGAGGCCGGAAAAGTTAAATGTACATATAAGGAACAGCTGGAGGACCAATTTGCAACTTATTAGGTCAATTGGCAACATGATTGGGTATAAAAAGAGCCTCTCAGAGTGGCAGTGTCTCTCAGAAGTCAAGATTATTTTTCCCTTAAAATGATACATTTTCTCAGTTTAAACATTTGATATGTCATCTATGTTGTATTCTGAATAAAATATTGAAATTTGAAACTTCCACATCATTGCATTCTGTTTTTATTCACAATTTGTACAGTCTCAACTTTTTTGGAATCGGGTTTGTAAATGAAAATAGGAAATGTTGCTTTGGCATCTAGCTGAACTATAACAAGTATTTTTCAGTAACAAAAATAATAGTTATTATTATTTAGTTTTTTTTTGTTGGTCAGGTTGGTCATGTCTTGTAGTTTGTGCACCTCGTCAGCATTGTGTTGTGTAGTATTGTGTTGTGTAATATGCACACTGCTAAGACAAGATGACAATAGACAACCAGAAAGGGCACGATGGCGATTCATGTAGTCTCATAGTCCTAAAGTGTGAGCTTGCCTTTAGGGAAATTGATCTGATATCGATGGCATGCAAAGTGATAGACAAAATGTATGAATCACAAACCACAAAAATGGTTACTGTTGATATGTGTTATAATTAAAAATGAAAGATCTTGCTAACAAAATCGAATTTTCGAAAAAAAAAAAAAAAAAAAGGTTTTAAAATCATCCAGCTGATCTGTTTTGTTCTGTTTGCTCCAATCATTAAGTCTCCGCCAGATGCAAGAAACACAGTGCCGGATCTGGAACCATTGACTTTTATCACTTCTGTCGGCTGCGGCATCTCCATGTTTTTTATGGCCGTCGCTTTATTCATGCATTTCCTGCTACGGTAGAGTATCTTTACACATAGTGCTTTTTACTTGAAGTTAAAAAGTTGCAATGGTTGCAAACACAGTTGTTTTTGTGTTTTAATAGGAAAGCCAAATCAAATCAGGCCACGAAGATCTTGATGAACATGTTTGTGGCTTTGTGTCTACTGAATGCCTCGTTTTTGTCAAACGAGAGCGTCGCTAACACAGAAGACAACGCTGCGTGCGTCTTCATAGCGCTGCTCCTGCATTACTCCATGCTGGCCTCATTCACCTGGTTCTTCATTCAAGCTCTTCATATGTACTTATGGCTCATCAGACAGAACGTCACCATCACAAACTACATGAGGAAGATCACCGTGTTAGGCTGGGGTGAGTCTGAGCAACAAAACACATTAAAATAAACCTGTTTCAAACCATCTAGTCCAATTGTAAGTTCACACAAAAACAAAAAATATATTGCTCACAAATCATATAAACTACTGTCAAGATACTTTTATGGTTTCATGTTTATTTATGTTTTATACTCTTATGTTTTTAACTATAATACCCCTTGTCTCTGTGTTTTCAGCGTTTCCCGCTCCAATAGTCATAGCTATTGCTTCTGCAGGAGAATATAAAACACTGATCCTAAAAACAACATCTGGAAAAATTTCACGAATGTAAGTTCTGTAAATTTAAATGTCTACTGATTGTCTTATTAATTATACTTCATTATTTTCTAATTACAGGTGCTGGATTACAAATCCCATCGTTCACTACGCAGTGAACATCGGCTACTACGCTTTAGTTTTCATCTTCACGACAGGAATCTTCATCATGATTGTCACTAAAGTCGTTCAGGCCAGACGCATGAGAGCAACTGACGGCAAGAGAAAGACGTTCAGAAAGCAGCTGATGATGGTGTTGAGTTTGTTCCTGCTCTTCGGTCTGACGTGGTCTGTGGCGTTCTTCAGTTATGGACCGATGCTCATTCCCTCATATTACATATTCACTGTGCTGAACTCATTACAGGGTGAGAAACAATCACATGCATCGTCCTACAGATTTCAGCAAATTATATGAATTGATTCATTAATATTTTTTTTATTATCTATTATATTTTTTAAATATTTTAATGTTTAATTATTATAATTTTTATTGTATGATTTTTTTTATATATAATTATTTTATTTTATTAAAATAGGTTATAATGGTACTTACACTAATATGATTAATTTGACCAAAAGTCTGATTATTTTTGGTTAGTTTAAAAATTATGCAAATGACTTTAATCATATCTGAAATGTATTTTCATTCGTTGAAATAAGTTTTTGTGTTCTTCTTTCAGGGTTTTTCCTCTTCCTGTATTACTACCACATTCACAATAACGTTGCGGGTTGTTTCTCTGATGATCCAGAAAGCACCGACTCCAGCACAACCATCACTCAATCCAGCACTAATGCTGTGGAAAATATTTATAACTAGCATAATTAAGACAGAAGGCTTTCTTTATTTATCTTAAACTAAAATGACCCTAAAAGCATCAGTTTTACTTAAATCACTCAAATTAAATTGAATATCTGTTGCTCGTTATTAAAAACTTGTTTGAATTGTGCTTTTAAATCTCTGATATGATCTGATATGACTTTTGTTAGATTTATTGAGCGTTATAACCATCCATGTGTGATCATGTGCGTGTCAGAGCGACTCAACACTGAACCTTATTTAGAAAACTAATTTACATCTTCAGGATGACAGTAATGTCCGCACGCTTGTGGATTCAGATATTTGCATGGTTATTTCATAAAGTAGCTTACTAAAATCCACACACACGGATGTGAAACATATCTGGTTACAGGAAACACAACAAAGAACTGTCAGTGTGAATAAGAGAATCCATCATTGTTTTATGCTGCTTATGATTCTCTGTGATGTTTCTCAGTATTTCTCATATGATTCTATTAAAGGTAATATAATTGTATTAATCATGATGGACTGACTCCAAAATCATTTATTCACTTTAGACACACTTATAAATATGTGAATGTTAATCATTACGTCACGAAATATCAAAGCAAATGTCACTTACTGTACAGAAAGGTGCACAAACACAAAGTGTAAAAACGACATTTTCTGTATCTAAACCATGTCAGAAATCCATTAATGAAAGTTACTTTTTCATTAGCATCTTAAAATTGTTTCTACTTTTATTAAATATATGTTTTCTATATTTATATTATTTTCTGTGAGCAATTATGACTTGACAAACTTATGATGATGGCTT